AAATCCATACATTCACACAGTAGGCGCATCTTTTTTCCATTCATTGGTATCAATATTATGTCAACCAACTGTCCGAACCTGACCATTCCAAGCTTCTGACTGGTGTGTCCGATATGCATCTTGAAAATCGATTTGTATCAGAATATATCCCCCAGTGCTGATCCACCTGGCACGAGGTCCTAGTGACCTCACCTTACTCTGTGCTTGATAACTTTAATTCGAAACTGACCCCAGATATCAAGAGAGTGAAAAGCGCACCAATCAAGTTCACGAAAACAAGACCCGGAGAAACTTCTCTTGGCATGTCGAAAGCCGACATGTATAGATGAAAATTCATCTTGGCATCGATGTATTTCTTCCTCTGCCGTACTCTTGGTGCGTTTCCAATCCCTTGCCGTGAAAGTAGTCGCATAAATCTCATCATTCCTGCATCTTGCGGGGTTCACGTGGTATATTCTCCTTTAGCCGACCACTTGCGATTCAACATCAAACTATCTAGCGCTTGCTATTATGTTATCAATCTCATCCCGACTGATCCGTTACAAAGTTTCGCCTCAAGACAATTGGTGGATTCCATGATTCCATCTCACAGTATCACGTTGTCCCATCATTTCCCCAAACGGAACATGGAGAAACGAACCCTGTTGCTTGTAGCGAGTTTTCAACTAGGTACGCAAGTGGTCAGGTCACTTTGTGATATCGATTGGGCCCTGTAAATGCCGATGAGGTGGTATGGTGGACCTGAACAACCCCGGGAAAACGCTATGTACCCCACAACAAGGAACTTGCAATTTCTGATGCATGGAAAATTGTCCGAATGAGGGTTGCCAATACAATAACACGTGAATTGTCTCCGAAACTTCGAGGTAGGTAAACAAAAACCGTTGGAATCCATCTCCTGAATTTCGTAAAGCTCGATACGATTTGCGGATTATCTTTTCGGGTATAGATTCGTATTGATCACTCGGGGAATAGGAAATTTTGTATTGGTCCACTTACGTTTATTTGTTTGTCGACTAGGTACCGGTGCTCCACTGTCTAGTCTCCCACACACATTTCTTCTTTTATATTCGGACAATTGCGAACGTGGTAAGCTTACAGGAACACGAGGGGAAATGCAAAAATGGGGTGCGGTCTCATTGGAGCGAAAGCATGCTTCCGTTCCTGCAACGTTCGAGTAAGTGGCGCATGGACTCTCCTTGGCTGTAGGTGATGTCTGGCTCCGCTTGACTAACGAATCACCATTCATCGGATCGTAAATACACACTAACTGCCATGGCGGCCCGGCCCTGAGTTAGAGTTATAGGTAGATTTTATGTGATGTTTGGAATAGACTAGTAAGCTACAGAAATATCACAGAAGAAAGTTTGGAATTGGAAGCGCACGAATGAAAGGAAGGGTCTGGAATCAAAATTCTGGTAAGTATTTTGAATTCTCATGCAGGTACACTGGTGACTGAATCATACTATTTTCCTGTTCTGTATGATAGAACTCAGATGCCTGAATTGGAGTTGGGTATCTGTGTAGATATTCGTAAGTCAAGTAAGCTATTTTACGTCATGTCCTCTCTTTCACGTCAAGATTTTGTGATGTCAGTCGTGAGTGTAAGCAGTGATTGTCTTCTTCACTTTGCTGTCAGTCTTCAGGTTATCGAACCCTTTCAAATCCTTCTATATAACTCAAGTCTAGTCTCTATTTCTAATCCACACGACTAGATGGTTCATCCCATATGTAGTCCCGAGAGCCATCATCCATGCATCGCATATCCGACGGATATAGGTATCGATTCATATCAAGATGGATAGATAACAGATGACTAGAACTTTGTTATTTAATATAAAGATACTATGTTTGGAGTCCTGGGATGCTTTTCCTGAATAACATACGATTAATTATCTTTTTAGCTTTCTTGAAACCGTCTCGATGAGATACCATGCTTCAATTTCACTTCGGACTTGACCTCTATGGTGACAAGATAAACAAATGATTAATCGGTCTATATAACAGGTTTATTACACCGCAGACGAAAGTATTAATCTACATGCTGCATTGTTTTTATATCCTTGTGGCTAACTTCTCCTTCACTCTTCTCTGGATATTCCTTCTCTCTCGAGAACCGGATCGATATGTATCATGTGATGAAAGGCCCTGGAGTACCTTCACTCGCAGCGATATCCTAGCCAAAACCTAATCCATCAGCGATACTATCCTCGTTTATCTTTAGAGCTCTACTGTCTATTGTCTACTCTTTATCTCTGTATCGACCCCCCAACACTCACACACGTCTCAAAACCTCATCTATCATCTACTGTTCAACATCACTTATTCAACATCGCCAAGCCAAAACCAACATAACTTAATCAGAGCTCCCATCAACAAAGTTCCCGCTGTCCTCAACTGAAGAGGTAAAACTACATCAATCTGAACTTTCAATTCAAGCTATATCACATTCATCCCTAAGCCGCTACTTCTTCACTGGAACCACATATATGAAATGGAGCTTAAGTATGAACTAATGTGACTATTTGATTCATTATCAAGTTAGGAACTTACGCGAGAGTTACAGAACGAGAGATAAGTATGTTCTCTTTCTTCTTCTTCCTTCTTTCTTTCTTCCTGCTTTCTTATTACGCCCATATTCGTGTCTCCTTACATCATCTTCCATCTCGTCCCCTCCGCCAATATTCTTCGGTTTCTCTCTCCCTTCTCTGAGATATCGGCTCCATTCCCTTCCCCTTCTTCCTCGCCACATAATTTCACTAACCCACTCTTCCCTCCACGATTACTTCACCCCTTTCCATCAACAAAATTCAACTCTGTAATATCTTTACCCTAACTCCAACCCACCACCAAGTATATGTACACATCCATGTACATACGACACAACCCATCATACCACGACTTAAGCGATGAAATTCATGACTCATGAATGATACAAATCCCAGTCCTGAGACACTCTGGGCTTTGAAACTACGTTTGCTGGAGCTGGTGCTGTGTCCTCCGGACCAGAAGAGTTATAGAATGAAAGCAAATTAACTGATACGGATTTAGAGAACGAAAAAAGAAAAAAAGTTAACCGAGCGAACCAGATGGAGTGGTAGAAACAGAAACGTAATTTGTCGTATAAAGATGATGTAAAATCCGATTGCTGAGACAATGTTCACCCAGCTAACAAACTATCCAAAAGGGGTTATGGACAAGAAAGTCTCTCTAGGTCAGAATTGATGCTCAACCCAGAGAGAAAAGAGTAATCAGAAAGGACGCGTGCCATCGAATCTAATCTCAATGTACAGATATATTGGAACAATGTAATATGCAATTATATCCGTAGCAGGTATGCCTTCATTTTCCTGATATTTTCAATTTGGAACCGAGACGCCTCAGATGCAATGAGCTTCCAGTTCGCATTCATATCTCGTGATGATGTTCAATCTCATCCGTCTTCCCCCCCTTTTCCGGCTGGTTTCAACTTCATCCCAGCCTTACTGGTTACCGTGACTCCTCTGATGGATATCAAATTTGATTCCTCACAGATTTCAGTCCATAATCAATGAACCCCTCATCTCCCCTTGAAGACAGGCTTCCTCTTCTCTTTAAAAGCAGCCAACGCCTCATCTCTATCTTCTGTCCCCACGACCCTTCCATACATATCATTTTCAACATCTTCCCTCGCCCACCCCACAGCTTTCAACGCACTCCTTATTGCCACGGGACCTCCCTCACAAATCGTCCCCGCCAAATGTACCGCCTCTCTCAAAACCGCTTCCTTAGCCCTCTTCATCATATCTCCCTTCTCTTTTCCTTCTCCCTCCCCTTCCCCTTCATTCTCCTTAACCTCAACCAATCGATCCGCAATTCCTAGAAAATACGCTTCCGGACCACTCACTCTCCTCCCAGTCAATATCATATCTCGTGCTCTTCCTATTCCTATCAAAGCTGGAAGTCGGTGTGTTCCTCCCGCGCCGGGTATTATACCAAGTCTCGTTTCTGGCAATCCAACGACGGCTGTGGAAGCAAGAACACGCATATGTGTACAAAGCGCCAATTCGAGACCGCCACCAAGAGCAACCGAAGAAATCGCCGAGATGGTTGGAATCGGAAGGGCAGAAAGTTTTGTAAATGTAGAGCGGAGATTTTGGAGGAATGTTTGAGTCCTGTCGATGTTTATTTATGGTTAGTCTTCATCTTTTCTTGGAATTCAATCACCAAAGAAACGAACGAGAACATACATCTCAGGCGTAAAAGTAGCCCTCTCTTTCAAATCTGCCCCCGCACAAAATACCCCGTCAACCTCACTAGTAATGATCAAAGCTCTCGTTGGTCCATCTTCTCCCTGCGGTCTAACCTTCCTTATCTCATTTCCCTCCGCATCATATTCCGCTGCAATATCATCTACATGCGCGCGCAGTTCTTGCAGTAATTGAATACTAATAGCGTTACGAGCTTCGGGACGACATAATGATAGAACACGGATGGTACCGTTGGAATGCGGGGTTGGTATCTGGAAGGAGGAGATGAATTGCGGTCGACCTGATTTGGCAGTGGAGTAAAATCGAGGGGTGATAAGTTGTGGGAGCGTGGATTTGAGGGACACACGGAGGAATGGTCGCATTTTTAAGATTGTGGATTGAGGATTGAGGATTGAGGAAGTTGAAGAGATGATATCGATTTCAATATAATGCGGAGAGAACCTCGGGAAGCATTGTGTGTTGCGGATATCAGCGGGTACGAGCGGATGGATCCGTGAAGCTATCATATAGGGAAGGTACACCTAAAATATAACGATGCCACCACTATTGAATCGCTAATCAAGTCTACTAGTAAGACCAATCCAGAACCAAGATTAATAATCTTCAGCCCCGAATCTTACTGTATCAAAAGCATAACTTAGATACCTACATACATATATTTTGCATATAAACTCGACATCCAATATCTAATACGTGAAATCCTATTGATTTTCCCTCCTTGAAGTAAGAATTCTCAACTATCATCCAAACATGTCCGATCCAAACCCTTCAAACGGCGCAACGGTCGCCTCACTCCCACCCGCAGCCATAGCTTTAGCAACCAGAATGTACGACGCAGCTCGAAATGGGGATATGGAGATTTTCCAACAAGCTTTACCTCGAGGACTACCGGCTAATATGACAAATGAGAAGGGCGATAGTCTGGTGAGTCTTAAGTTTTGATCCAATCTACGACGCCCGAGTCTTGTTTACCCCTCATCACGTGCCGTCCCTCCTTTCACATGATTCAAGTTTCGATGCTACAACTTTTGATTCCATGGTCGCTCTCTGACAAGGGAAATAGATAATGTTAGCTGCCTACCACGGTCACGCATCACTGGTTCGACTTCTTCTTCAGCATGGTGCGAATCCCAATTCGTTAAATGATCGAGGACAATCTCCATTAGCAGGTGCCGTCTTTAAGGGAGAATCTGAAGTTATCGAGGTATGCAGATCCCTTTTATTTTCTTGTCAAACTTTCTCGAATCTCTGGATTGGTGTTTCTTTCCGATTCTGATAATCATTAGGCATTACTCGAAGGCAACGCAGATCCAGAACATGGTTCTCCAAGCGCAATGAGAGCCGTAGAGTTATTCAAGCAAGAAGAGCAATGGTTGAAGAAGTTTGAGGAGGCGCCTGGCAGAGGAAAGGCTATTTAGAGAATGTAAATAGGGTACGGAGTTTAGGTTCGAGCCATATTCGGGTCTCGAGGGGTGTTAGGTCTTCTAGGATATGTCAACTATTTACGAGTGAATCTCCAGTACGTTTCCGTACTATCATAATATTAATTGCAACGAATATTTTGCGAATCATTTTGATTTCCTATTCTTAAAAAAGAGATAACCATACTATGAACAATCCGACAAAACAAAACGAATACGATGTAAAACCCAAAACATCATCGTCACCCGATCACCGCTTCCCATCTTCCCATCTTTCTCCTTCTCCACCCCTTTCTCCTTCTCTATTCATCACACCCCCCACTAATTAGGCACAACATCCAACCCAAACCCCTCCACCGGCAACGCCGTACTACACTGTCCCCAAACCTGCACACTAACCGGACTAACCGTTAACGGTCCACACGTATTCTGCGTCTGAGTAAAACTTCCCGAATACCCCGTGATCGCACAATATCCCGTTCCTTCCGCGACTATCTTTGCGATCTTGAGGGGATTATCAATAACATAGTTATTTCCATCCACGGCAAAAGTTTGTTGAACTAGAGAGGGGAGGTTAGTTGGTTGTTTGGGCGGGGGTTGAGGAGGGGGCTAGTAAGGCGAGGGAGATGAAAGGGGAGAGTGAGGGTAAGGGGAGAAGGGGAAGAGAAGAACACAAAATACATACAAAACTCCCCATTCCTCGCATAAAAAGTAAGAACTACATCTCCCACGCTCGGATAATCATTTCGTGCTACATGCACAGTACCGGTAGTAGTATTCAATCCCCTCCTCAACTGAAAAGCATCGTCCTCAGTAAAGCGATCAATCGGCACCGCAATGACACCAGAAACCATCAACGCCACGAAAATAGTAAGAGTTCGTGTATTCATCTTCTCACTTAAATCCACAATTGCGTAAAGATAGGAAATATTATTGAGGGAGAAAAATTAAGAAATCGATAGTTCAATCTATTTTATAAACTTGAGAATGTAGTAGATTTTAGATATTCCTTCAACACTAGGTATCTACTCAAGTTATATATCCCCTCTATACCTACCTTCCAAGACTTTCATACCCCGTATTGAAGCGGTCTCTTTACCAATATACATCATGAATCAATAAAGGAAATTTTTGCAATCCAAAGATTGAAAAGGTCGCCTGTGGTCCTTATGAGGTCTTGTTGCTGAAAGAAGAATCTTGAATCATGCAATAGCAAATGTGATGTAAGCGGCAACGAGGGGGACCTTTAAAAGACCTCGCGACGGGTTACTCTGTGGGTTGCTGAAATTTTTATCGATGTTGGAATTTCAGATTGAGCAATTGGATAAAGAATAACAAGAATGCAAAGCGAAAATAAACAGTGAAAACAAACTGATTTCTTGTCTTCGTATCTGTTATACTAGGTATCTAAAACCACAAACTAGTATTTGTGCACTCCTATCTATGAAGCACACCTGCAATGCGGCCAAACTTTTGACTTTATCTTTCAACACCATGTTAAGCCAGTCCCATTCATCATAAAACATTAATTTATTCGACTATGCTCACGGCAACTCGAGATCATCTACTCCATCTCACCAACCCATACCCTTGCTCTCAACCTCTGCACCACCTCCTTTCTTATCCACCTCATCTCCCTTCCCTCCTCCATAGCTTTATCCGCCCACTCAAATAACAACCTTAATCCTAATAATCTATCTTTATTCCCGCTATCTAACGTCGCATGTTCAAGGATCAATCTAGAATCCACAGATGTTTGTTCTGCGCCTGCATGGATATCTCTTGGTCCGCCATGATCGGGCGGCAATACCAACGCCCTTTCTGCTTTCGTAAGGGTCGAGAAAGCTGGGAGTTCAAAAAGCCACTGAAGCGATTGATTGACTGTTTGATCGGCTTCGTCTAGAGCTTGAAGAGTAGCTTTGAATGCATTGGTGCTAGCGTCATGAGCTGGGCGTTTGCGAACGTATAAAACCTGAGTCGATTTGAATGCTTCCACATGGGCTTTATTGCTCTCCAAATCCAAAACGACATTCCAGTATTCAGGGCTGCATGTTCGAACCGTTTTGATTTGGTTGATTTCCGGGATAAGACAAGGTGTATGGCGCTCCTCTTCTTTCCCATCACGAAGTGTAATTTGAAGAGGTATGGGAACAGGTTGATCGGTATCAATGTCTTTTGTAATGAGACATCTAGGTTCCGCAGCTAGAACCCAGAAATGACGAAAAGCTTGTAAGTGAGATTTATTATCCTGGACAGTTGATGGAAATATCGGATAGAATGCCACAAGCAGTGCGGCAATTGCTTTATCTGAAGTTCCGAAAGTGAAAGTACCACCACCCAAGAATAATGCACCAATAGCTAGATGAGCTGCAAGATGACTACCATATGGTGTCTCACTATCATCACGGCCGTGCATTGAACGAAGTCTACGGAATACAGCAATGTCTCCGGTGCCCGCCATGACAGTAGCTAGGCCAAGGGCCACCAAATCTTGACAATTGCGAACAGTATTTCTCGCCAACTTCTTATCGAATGAGTCTGCTTCGATTTGACATATTCGTCTAAATTCGTCTAAATAATGTAACAGTATATCTCTCACAGTCAAATTTGCCGAACCGGCAAACCTTAAAGCAATGCTGAAACAGAGTCCAGTCAGTATATCGTAAAATGGAAGGTCTGCGGATGTCAAGGTTCTGATCCATTGTAGCGAACTTCGACTCTTGTAAGGAGCAGGTAAGCTCTTCTTGATCCATTTGTGTGAAGGCTCTATCTTACTCCACATTATCAAGTGCCGTGCAAGTGTTCGAAGTAGGAAAGCGTCTGGTCGAACGTAGTCGAATTGGAGAACAGAATCTGGTACGTCTACCTTGCGAGCCAGCACCTGATTCTCCGATTTCATATAAATAAGAGCAACAGAAATAATTGCCGCAGCCGTGGACTTGTCCAGAATGTGTACCAGGTCAACTTTCTTGCTTCCGGCAGCCAATGCAATGAGTCTCTCTGTGAGTCGCATATCGTGAAGGCCTTTCAAATCAGAGCCCTTGCCGAGATTGATAAATCCAAGGGCAAACCCTGCAGCAAGTCGATAGCCTTCGTTCCTTAAAGGCTCCTCATCAACCTCTTGATCAATATGCTCCATTTCAGATACCATAATCTCACTCATCCGACGATGTTGGGTGTTACAATATAACAAGCCAATACCCATAATGCCAGTAGTCTGTGTAAGTGGAGAAAGGTTCAACTCGGCTGCTCCAGGAGGGAGCATTCTTGTCACATGGACTGATAGTAGCCGTGTAATCAATGAATCCATAGTCCCTATATAGGATGCCGCTAGTCCTAAAAGTAGTCCAATCGATGTCATTGTGTGTTTTGGAGTCAAGTATCTGAAAGCAACCCATTTTGCTACTGATTTAAGATGGCCATTAAGACCGAGTGCTAGTAAGAAGCCAGCATGACGGTTGCTCAGATCTTGTTGTGGCTTGTTGTAAAGAATCCATGAAGTATCAATACCTTTTGCATCTCGAGAGATGTTAAGACCGGCAGATACACCTGCGTGGAAGAATGCCCAACAGACTTTTTCTTCAGTGAATGCGTTCTTATCAACACCTATGGTATTGTTATTTGGTTTCATGACACAGCTTAGATTGAAGCCCCCAATAGCAAATCTTTGAGTTAAAAGAGGGATGCGAGCACTGTAATATAGTAATCCTTTGCCAGATGGTATGGCCAAAGTGCGATACGCTAGCATTTGAGCGTGCTCTTTTTGAGCTTCTAACAATTCTGATTCTGTCCAATCAGGTGAGGATTTGACGCGAGCAATTGTAGATCGGAAAGTGTTTAGAATATTAGAAGCTTCATTAACTCTTCTGTCGTCTTTGAAGATGGCTCGAGTAATAGCTTGACGATCTACTTCGGCGGATCCATCGAACGCTCCAGTTGTTTCAATCTCCGTTGTAGATGCGCAGATAGCATGAACGTCCTGACTTGATTCATGTGAGGGTGGCTACAGATGTTAGCTTTTGTTGATATAATAGAACTCTTGACTCACTAATAGAGAGGGCTGGAAGTTTCGAGCCGTACGGCCGGGCGTTAACAGCATAGTAACATCTTCACGACCAACCAGTGCAAGCAGTTCTCGACTCCATGTTGTTGGAGGTTCACTTTGACATTCGACGATTGCTTCTTGAAGAGGGGCAAGTATAGCCTCTGGCAAAGTCTCAAGAAAAAGGCTATCTACTCCAGAAGTAGACAGTGCTTCTACGAGTTGTACAGGAGACCATCCATCCTGCATGCATGAAAAAAATTGAGCAAGTTGCAGAGTTCTTGGTGTTGAGCTACGCCATCGCTCAAGATCTCTGATACCCCTGGTAGGAATGGCAGATCTAAGTGTCACTATATCTTGAAGTGTTAAGAATGGCATCAGCCTTCGACCAAGGAAACAGTCCTGAATCCAGTTGTAAATTGATGGACAATCAAACGGCTCAGCAATCTGACTTGCGAGAACGAGATCTAAGAAGATGGTGAGCGGTTTCCAACTTTCACACATAGAGTATAGAAGCTTACCAATGTCATAAGGCGCATCTACTAAAGAGGCTTCTTCAGTCTCATAAAAATCTATCCAGCTTTCCCACCTGAGCCATCGGACAATTTGAGTCAGTACTGGTGTTAGAGTAGATACGCCGGTACTAAACGAATCGGCTGTCATCGTGCTAAGCTTTCTCTCCTCGCGCAATAAATGTAGGGCAGCGAGAACATCAATCAGAGCAGCTTGACGAAGCTCAAGAGATTTGTTGGTTGCTGTCGGTAGATAGCCTGAAATCGCTTCCTGGCCCAATTTTGAGTAAAAAAACGTTTGTGCAAGAGTCACATGCCTTTTGGTAAAGGTTTCCTTGTCTTTGGTTTTCGATAGAAGGCCTTCCGTTCCATAGGAAGGAAAGACTCCGGAATCCTCTTGTTCATCCAGGAGCCATTTCCATCCACCACTGTTAAGCCAGGGCGGCATAGGGTTTCCATAAGGAGCCAATTGACTGAGCATAGCCTCATAGCAACTCACATCCACTTGTGCGCCACTGCTAGATCGTAACCATGCTGTGCGTGATTTCCTTGTTGCATGAGCCTTCTTCTGAGGCTGCTTGGCTGCACTAAAGCTAATAACCATTGAGAATAGAACAATGAGTAGAGACGTCCATTCTGCATCTGCAGTTTCAACTGATTCGAGCTCAAGCCATCTCATGGCATTCCACCATGTAACAAGCATTCCTTCGCCTCCACTTGCACCTGGTAGAACTTTAGTGCATACCTCAAGAATTTTAGCCACGTAAGGACTGCGTGGCTCCATGAGTATTTGTAGCTGATGCATTTTGCCTTCATCATCCACCAAATCGACTAGGCCTCGAGGTTTTGGGTTACGCAGCCCCTTTAAAGCACGAGGACCTTGACTCAGAACTCTCTTGAAGCTTCCCTCCCTCTTTTCACGTGGATGTTGGTCATGACTTAAGTTTCGAATGTTGTGTATGACGAAATTTGCAGGGAGAGTCACCTTCATGAGAATACTCCATGGTGCTTGTAAACTTAATTCTCCAAAACCATCATCTGTTTCGGTCAAAACTAGAATCCGAGAAATATCGCCGTCATCGAATTTGCAAGCATCGATCACACCTGGAGCTCTCATAACTTCCTTCAAGTTGACTAATGTTATTTCCTTCTCTGAATTCGGAGAAACCTCATTGTCATTGTAGGTGGCTCTTTTATGAACTTTGGTGTTAAGAGTCATTACGAGAAGCTTTTTCTCGTCTGAATCCAGGATACATATGACTATTGAATTTCCCTGATGATCATCTGCCGCAGACGGTGGTGCAGGTAGTATAAAGATCTTACACTGACTCTTTGCTGGCATATGTTGACTCGAAAAGCGAAGGTTACTATGCTCGGCGGAGACACTACAAACTTTGGTAAGGATGATTTCCTGTCTAAGAGCGTCAAATTCGTCATCATCAAGGCCCATATCATTGAAGCCGCCAAAATCACCCCCAGCACGAAGTTGATCCAGAAGTTCGTCAATTGGTGCTTCAAGAAAACTATTGACGCTCTGGCTCAATTGGCTAGGCTGAGAGAAGGTCTGCCCATTTAGTCCAATGCTCGTTCTGGTATGCTGACTTCCCAAAGAATCGCGAAGTCGACTTGCATTGTGCTGGTGACCAGTTGCCAGCTCGGAGAAAGCATTTCTCTCGTGCGAAGCTGATAGATCTGCTCTTGCTAGCATCGAGCTTACACGTCGGGAGCTTCTCCTGGGCATAATGCCACCTTCATAATCGGGATCAAGCGTAGAGGCAAAATCAATTTTTTTGTCTCTTTTCGCATCTTCAGACCATGCAGGGGTTTTCTTGAATCCAGGAGTGACTCCACCAAAGCTTTCTCGCATCGTCTGCTGACTATTTCCTATGGGTGTTGTAGCTCCTGTTCCACCCGGCATGAATGAGCTTCGTCGGCGCGACGCTGCACCACTAAGAACTCGAGATTTGCCGTTTGGTATTGTTTCTTGTCCAACATAAGTCAGCTTCCACACAGTATACATACTAGTCTCGCGGTTCAGGGTGATGGCTAGTACAAGAGGATTTTCTGAGTCCTTGGCAGAAAATTCGTTCGGTCGAGATACATGAAGAATTTCTTCTGAAGGGTCCAATGTTGATATTTTGCCAGAACTCCTACGTTTTACTCGGCCATCAGACAAGCCTGGCTGAGCAACGACTAGGCCCATTTCTGATAATGGATCAGACAAGGAAAATAATCGTGGCCAGTTTGCATCACTTTGAACAGAAGGAGGCTCCCACAAATCTCCCAAGGTAGACATTTGAGTTGGCATCTGCATAGGAGCACCTAAGTCCGCAGTGGAAAAGGTGGACTGGATTGAGCTTGTCGCAGACCATGGTTGAGGCTGAGATGAGACAAAGGAGTTGGGTGGTACTCGTGGAAACTTTATAGATGCTGCAACATTAGTTTCTGAACGTAGCTTTCGCTGTATAATGAGACCGATAGGTGCTGCAGTGGCAGACTCGACTTCAAATGGCAAATGTATAACATGGCTGGTTCCAGAGAGAAAGTAAACATGTGCCTGCGTCTTCAAGAACACTACAATTGCCTTTTCCTTTGTATTTGAGCCCTTCTGATGTGTCTTTGGTGTTCCATTCTTGGATAGTAGTGGTCCAACGCTGGGAAATGAGGTCAACAATGCCTGTGTAATTGGTTCTTTCTCGAGATCAAAATTGTAGCTTTTTCGAAAAAACCCCTCCCCGAGACCAAATTACACATCTTGGTGTAACTAATAGTTCGTCGTCGACTTCTGAGCCTGTATTATCGTCGCAAACATTATACCAGTCGTAAGAACCACTAGATGCATCTGCAGTCAGGTATCCTTCTTTAATAGCATATTGAAGTCCTGTAGGTTGATGTAGACCTAGAGAAGTGACCAAGGCCATATTTTGGAAATATTGTGAAAAATCATGAACGCATACAACCTGCCATTATTTTCCCAAGTCTCTTCGTCGCACTCTACCTTTATATATCTTAGATTTTTACAATAAATGCCTCTCCTTCATCCTTTGAATACTTTCTAGAGAACGCGTCGTGAATGTAGAAGGCGCGAACAGGAGCAAGGCTGTCATATATCGAAGGTTAAGTTAAGCCAGTGCACGGACCATACGAGGCTACAGCACCAACTCCCTGCAATCAATCTTGAGTTTGGTTGTCTACAGTAAGGTTCAAGACAACAGCGTACCGTATATGATCGCTCACCACTGGGCGAAGATCTATGATGGTGAGAAGGGACTCAACAATATCTGACCGCTTTGGATACTATTACTTTTTCAATTGGCTTTCAATCCATTGGTCGCTTGCCTCCCTGTGGGTGAGACAGTCGGTCTTATCTTACAAATGGAATTGTAGCTCTTGTGAATATCACTGTGTTAGGAAGTACCCATGGCAGCTTGATCACAAGATTTGATGTCGAAAAAGAACTCGAGAAGCTGCTTTGCCCTGAGTTCTTTTGCCTACCTTGTGTGATTACTGGTCAAGCACACACAACGGGAAAATTCCTACACACTACGTTGCGCCCTCTATAAGCCAAGTTATTGCTTATGATACATTCTTTATTTTGATATCGAGTCTATTAGCATTGCTCGAACAAGTGAATATTCAGGTCTTGGGATTGAACTCTTTCGTACTCTTTGTCTTTGCTCTTTCAGCAATGGGTATATCAAAAAGCCCATCGACGAGGTGATTGTTGATTCAAGATCCTTCTTACAGTATCAATGGCCGGGGAAACTCAGAAAATGTAGGTTTATACAAGATAATGGCATTCAACTCAAAATCTCTTCATGTTTTCACCAAGATCTTTCCACTTTCCTATGTTTCTTCTGCCGCACCCGCAAGATTGCGGCAAGTCACCACACTCAACCTTAACCCCGAATACAACATCACCATGCCTTTGCATTAGTATTTCTGTATTGCAAATTGCATCGCCTACGATAGCCCGCATATCTTCAAATTCACTGACATTGCATCGATAAATGAGGGTATATTCACTGATGCATTAATTGTGCATGTTCCTCACTAGTCCGCATCCCTTGTCTCCATGACTTCATATTATTTCGCCAAGCTCAGTACTAGAATAAGTTCTTCCATCAAGCTCAAAGGCACTCTTTTCTTCCTCAACATCCCTCACCTCTCCACCTCCCTGAAGATTATCTCGGGCTATCTATTCCGATATTCCCTCAAAGCAGCTACTGGAAACACAATCACAAGCCATTTTGGCAAAACCTATTCTCACTTCTTTATCGAAATTCAAATGGCCGATTACTTTGCCTTGTGTTAATACACCCTTACTCATTCCTTGTATGATAATTGACTGTACTAGATAACTCCTACAGCACTTAGTTCCCGGGCACGATAGCAACTAAACTTGAATGCATCGACTCTTCCGTGGACTCTACGGTTGAGAATTATATGCCCGATGTCAAAAACTTACTAGAAGTCGAGTGAGTTGGATACTAGTCGCTGATGGTGCGAGTCTGGGAGATAGGAACTTCCACCGGGTCGGGGAAACTTCGAAATGTGAATGGAGAGTAAATACAGCCGATGGAAGACTAATCTGGGGAGATATAGTTCGATGCGTGGAAAGAATCTATAGTTCAAATTTAATCTTTGACCTCGTTCATTATTATATGCTCTTGATGAGAAATCATTTGTGTTTCTATTTCAAACATAATGATCCTCGTTTGATGTGGGAATCCTATGTCTACGCACCGACCAATCGGTAAGACTTCCTCGGCACCGAAGTTTATCAAAACATTATTACGAAGACAATATCATATTTCAAATAAAAGCTAATGTCGAATGCTTAGATCTACCTTCTCATTCTGAATCCGAGTTCCAGCCGTTAACCGTATACCCATAAGCCACACGCCAGTCACTGGATCGTGACGCATCGTTCTTCCTTCTTCATTATCCAGAGATCAAAGCTCAACGACTTCTAATCAACTTCGCCAATTTCTCGAACAACTCCCGTCTCTTCGTAGCAATATCCGAGATGTTACCAGCAGAAGCTAGATCTCCGATGAAAATCATGTCTTTACCACTACATAAACCGGTGTATGCTTTAGCTGTAAATTCGTCGGTGGGTATACCTAGTTTACGACCGTGGGGTCCCACATAGTCGTTGGAGCTCAGCTGTCGTGAGTGTTTGTTCGGATGGGATGGGATGGGCAACAAGGAACCAACGGGCGGGAATGAGATGAGAGGGCCGGAGTAGGAGATGGCACAATGGAGGCAAGATGATGGAGATAGGATAGGAAGGTGATCATGAAACTTACCTTGAACCATGGGGGGGGGATAACTCGATGACCTTTACTGACGTATCCCGAAGGTCATCTCTCAAGCACAGAATGAATGCACTGAGAGCTGCCTTGGAAGCAGAGTAACCTGCTAAAGTTGCGGCTGGTACCAAGCTCGGGTTTGTAGTTGTACTTTTATCTCGTAAGCTGATGGTCATTTTCCAAATTGAGAGCGACATAGAAGTTGTTACAGGGTAACGAACTAAATGAAGCTTGTCTTCTGCTTTTTCTCTAAAGGATACGGAAGATAAACATGAGTCATTACCACGAAGCTGGTAAAATTCACGTGCATCTCATAATTGAATCCTTCGATATCGACACTTCCAGGCTTAGAAAAATCATGTTTGCGTTGATATCCTGCGTTGAGGAAGATGCAATCGATACCAGGAGATATTTCGAATACGTCAGCTGCAAATTGAGAGGCTCTCTCAGTGTCACCGATATCGAAACAGATGGATTCTGCTATATCGCTATGCTTGGCTACAAATTCATCGAGCCGATCCTTGCGACGACTGACGACGGTGATATTCCATTCTTGAACAAGACTTTCAGCCATGGCAAGACCAATTCCAGATGTAGCTCCGATGAGGAGAACGTGCTTATACGCGAATGACATTCTGAGAGGTTGATATAGCTTTAATGGTCTGAAAGGATATGTTAATGATGAATGAAATGTTACGATAGGCAGGTTGAGATATTGAGAAGTGATAATGGACATCCACAAAAACTTTATAGGCTTTACACCGAGGAGTCAATTATCTTAAGTCCTCCGATTCCATGGATCGGATTTTGAACTGGATCAAACATGAGTACTTTAAGAGCTCCCCCTGGGTTTGAAGGCATGATGTTTGTACCGCTCTCCGTCTCCAGACAAAGTGATGGATGGGAGATGAAGTTCATAGCCAATGACTTCAATAATTTCATTGGCCGAAAGGCTAGCGTCGAAATGTATCTCAGAATACCTAGGTAAAGCTTGGAATGCTTGCGGATCAGTCTCAAGAGTGGCACTAGTAACGCTCCTTTCGAAATTCTCCATCTGCTGACTTGTTGAACTCGAAGAAGATTAGAAATTCTCCTTATACTCGTAAAGAGTAAAAATTTATTAAGTCCAAGTTCAAGTCCAGCCAACCAGCCAACCAGCCAACCAGTCAGTTTGTCTAAGTTTGGGTAATTATTTACGATCTTTTCGTTTAATTTGGTAGAATCACACCCGTCGAATTATCCATAGTGGCAATACCAATTTCCGAGTTTTGTTTGCTTCTCGGTGTGGAATCATCATTATATCCTTGCATGGAAAGCCATCTAAGGCTTGTGAAAGATGTAGCTCGGAGACTCAAGATATTTCTAGGCGCGATTTTTCTCAATACATCACGATTGACATTCGTTGCAGTGCGACCTCGCACCCGTGACTTGTGGCTCCTGCATCAGAGCTAGGGTGATTCGCACTGGATATCGGGACACCGAAAAGCTGCGCATCAGAGATGAAACTGACAGCCTACATCGGAAAGCGGCGGCTGTGCGTCGGCGCGCCAATGGAAGCAGTGATAGAGGAGAATCGCTACTGCTGGAATTGAGAGCTGCCAATACCGAACCACGTTATCTTCCGGTAGCACTCGATGTTCAGGCGAAAGAGTTATTTTTCGACCATTATATTCTTGCAGGTCAAATCAACGGATCAGGGGCTTGGGACTTTCTGAAATCATACCATCAATCAGAAAAAGCACCGGCATATTTGCAATTGACATGAGATGCTGCCATTTTAGTATACCTTTCACACCAGTTCGGCTCGCAAAAAGCGCGTTTAACTGCTTTGGAAAGATATACAAGAGCTCTTGGCGTCATGAATAAAGTTCTAGAATCACCTGAAACATCAAAGGAGATGACGACACTCTTCACAACTCTACTTTTGGATCTGTTCGAAAAGCTCTCAACTACTCAACCTCCTGGAAATCGAGGGTGGAGTAACCACTTACGAGAAGCTCTGGCTATATTCCAAGTATATGGAGATCAATTTACTACATCAAGTAATGCGATGCGTGCTTTCACACGACTGAGCACAAATTTGCTCATTACCTCTCTCGCAGCAGGTACTGCTCTCCCGAGTGGCTTCTTTCGCCTCCGAGAATATTAGGAGAAAAGCCCGTCCATCGATGTTCTAAAGAATCCCAAATGGCAATTGTCGAAAATATTGGCACAGTATGTTAAATTACAAAGCGATATTCAAAATGGGAAACGCGCCAGGGAAAGCTCTCTTCGAGAGGCAAGAGAATTGGACTCCATCCTCAAGAAATTCTCTGACTGCGATGTAAGAATCAAACAATCATTCAAGACTGTACCCTCTAGAATGGCCTATGGAAACGTCTAATATTCATACCCCGATAGACATTTAACCCAAACGTGGAATGTTGTAAGAGTGGCTCAGGTTTTGGTGGTGAACTTTCTCGTGCCAAACGCCACCACTGAGACGGACCGTTCGCAGTATCTTACTAAAGTAAATGAGATTGCATCCAACATATATGCTTCTGTTCCACAATATCTCGACCGCGTGGGAGCTGTCAAGTCGTTGGGACAAATAGAATTACTGCACCCAGATGTTACATCGCATAATTCTTGCACTTCATATACACCTTCGCACAGATTGGCCTGCTATACACTTATATTTCCACTTTACTTAGCTAAATTTGTCGGAGATTGTGACTGCAATATATTTGCATGAGCCACCGAAAAATTGCATCATATCGGCAGTCATTTTGGCAATCGAAATGCGGAACTTGTTGCTCAAATTCTCGAGAAAAGAAGCGAGAACGATCCATTGAAAGTGTATACCATGCTTGGCAGCTATGCATTCGGTGCTTGAAAGAAATTTGAGCAGGGTGATCTTTTGGATCCCTCTGTCAAAGCCCCTCCTTTTTGAAAGCGGCAGCTCGGCAATCAATTTGGCTCTTTGAAGCGATTCCTGCCCCATTCTCAATGGTCATCCTACCCCAGATGGAAACATTTCTCCAATAAGACATAATGCCGACGCAGTTCATCCGCTGTAGATTTTATCCTTGTAGTTAATCCCAGCATTTATGTTACCGCAATCCTACTTCCGATCTTAGCCAAACGTATCTCTCAAGAGCGAGGGTTTGTGGATTTCAAAGCATATCACCATCCCTGAGGACCACGCTCTGAATTCATGTCTGAAGAAACGTGAGATGAAATTTACTTGCTTCCTTGTTATAAGGCCAGAGACAGAGAACCAGCATCCATTTGTTCATCTATTCTCACTCCACTTGATCAATGAACTTAAAATATCTAAACACCTCGGTAGTTTCCAGAGTTGGATGAGATCCCAACAAAATGTCCGCCACCACCACGAAGTTCTAGAAAACGATTAAACAGGGTGAAATCGTATTGACAGACAAATTTCTTCCCGGTTCCACGCTATTGCCATGACTTCCTTTCACTTAAAGTAGTTAGTGCCCCCACATAACAATATACCTCGGAGTTCAACTTGATGCAACAGTTGCGATTGGTGATTCCTCCAACATCACCTCAATAATCCCGACGTGGAGCATGTCCCGAGGAATTGCAAATAATTGCAAGTGATGCGAATGAAATGTTAACGATCGCGAAATTGTGCTAACAGCCGTAAATGCCACTGTCGACATGTTGAAAGAAAAGTATAAAGTTACAGTGTTCGATTCCAAATTATCAGATTATCGGCAGCTTCATATTTTCAACTCATTCTTCCAAGGCGCCCCGAAGAATTGAAGCAAGAATTCAATCATGATTACGACCGGCTTACTTCTGGCTCTAGTCGGCTTCGTTGGGGCTCTCAATCCAATCGCCATTGTTCCTCAAGGCATCGTCAATGGCAATTTCTCCCCCGTTCCAGGAGTCACTTTTCCTGTTGCCAGATTCCTCGGTATACCTTTTGCAAGACCCCCTCAACGCTTTAGCCCGCCCGTTATCCCAGGCTCATTTGCAGGCAACTCATACAACGCAACACAGCTTCAGCTAGCATGTATCTAGCAATTCAACTGTACGTGATATCATTGTATCTTTCACACAAACTTTCCTGACTGTATACAGATCCAGATGCTGCTCGTGCCTTCGCTCTGGCTCTCTTCAATAACCCACCACCTGCATCAGAAAGTGAAGATTGCCTATATCTCAATGTATATGCTCCATCTGCAGGTACTCCTGCTTCGTTACTTCCCGTGATGGTATGGATTTATGGTGGTGCTTTGCAGTTTGGCTCAGCGTCATCTCCATACTATGATGGTAGCAATATAGCTGGAAAGCAAAATTTAATTGTTGTAACTTTCAACTACCGAACTAATGGTAAATATGCTCTCGTGTTTCTTGGAGTTGACAATGTAATCTAGCAATAGCTAATCAGCCACAGTATTTGGTTTTCCAAATTCTCCGGAATTGCCCAACATAGGACAAAACTTAGGACTTCTTGATCAACGACTAGCACTAGCTTGGATCAGGGCCAATATCTTAGCATTTGGTGGAGATCCTCTCAAAGTAACGATATTCGGCGAGTCCGCTGGTGCACTCTCTGTGGATGCTCTAATCACCAGTTATCCAATTTCTCCACCATTTCGCGCAGCAATTATGCAATCTGGGCAAGACAGTGTTCGGACCCTAACGGCTAAACCAGGACTTGGCACTGTCTCTGGCACTCTTTCTTGGAATGCCCTCGCTGCTAGTCTTGGCTGTTCCGAAACAGGTGGCGCGCTTGCTTGCCTACAAGCTGCCGACGCACTCACCATTAAATCTTACATTGAGCATGCGGGACTATCGTTCCAGCCAATCGTGGATAACTTGACTCGCATTTCAAACCCACAACTCAAAAGAGCGAATCGCCAAATTGCAAATGTACCGGTACTTATCGGCTCAAATTCTCAGGAGGGTTCCGCTTTCGTTTATGGACAAAGCAATATTACAGCTGCTTTACAAGCATTGTTTCCGGGTAATGCCACACTACAGGCTGAAGTTTTTGCTACGTATCCTGTCGGTCAAGATGGATTGAACACACCAGCCGCTGTTGTCGAACAAATCTATACCGATATAATATTCCAATGTGTACGTTTAGCTCAATTACACGCTTCCTCTCCACAGACCTCTAACTAACTCTCTACCCCATAGCCAAGTGCTATTGTCGCGAACTCAAGTTCTGCCGCAGGTTACCCTACCTTCCGTTACTACTACAATGCAACCTTTGCCAACATTCAACCATTTCCGGGTCTCGGCGCTTATCATTCTTCAGAAATTCCCCTCGTCTTCGGTAACTTACCAGCAAACTCTACAGCAGCCGAAATAAGCCTAAGTGCCTTGATCCAAAAATCATGGGCCAATTTCGCCAAAAATCCTCAAGCAGGTCCAGGATGGAAGAAGCTGGATGTCAATGCAGGTATTAATAAGATTGCTGTGTTCAATGTTAATGGGTTGGGAAGTGTGAATGGGGGAGAACTTGACAAGCGGCGTGCTGTTTTCAAATACAATTTGGGAGGGTTCTAGGGAGGTAACCGATTTCCCTACTATATGCACGACCCTACTATATACACATTTTTATTATTTATATAAAATATTGAATTAAATTGAATTAAAAATTAAAAAAGCTATATTATAATTTGAAATTCAAATTTGAAATAATTGGAATAAATCAATTTAATATTTTGAAATAAAAAATTTAAAAATCTTAAAAATTATAGTAATAATAATAATAAATAAGATATCAAATTTTTATAAAAAAAAATATTTATTTATTAATATATTTTATAATATAATTAAAAATATGAGTTTTATTTAATGAAATTATAAAACTATATATATTATAATATAAAATATTTGAAAAAAAAACTAAAGCTTTTATCGAAAATTTGAAATTATATTGATATTAAATTCTAATATTTTTTGTAAAAAATATTTTAAAGATTAATTATTAGTAAAATAATAAATTTATAATATTTTATTTCATTTTTAAGTTATATAATATTAATAATCTTTAAAAAAAATACAAATATATTAAAATCTATAATTCATTAATATTATATCTAAATAGAGATTTATAAATATAATTAATAATTTGATTTAATTTAATAATAAATATAATATAAATATTTATTAGTTTCTTTAAGAAATTTTAATTTTAAACATTTTTTTTATAAAGATTTTAATTAATTATTAAAGAATAAAACTATATTAATTAATCTTAATTTAATAAAAATTTTAAATTTTGAAAATTTGATTATTAATTAACATTAAATCAACTTTTATTTGAAAAAATTGTTTTAAAAAATAAATTAATAATATTTCGAATTACAAAAAACTTATTTCTAAAGAATTTTATTTTAAAATGAAATTTATATAATTAAATTCTCATTATATATAATAAAATTAAAATTTAAATAATTTTAAAAATAAAATTTTAAAAATAAAAGATTTTTTTAAATAATTTCTCTTAATAAATTAAAAATTTATATATTTTAATATCTAACATAATTCCTTTTCCAAAAATATAATTTTCAAATCTTTAATATTAGATATAAGACTTAAATTCATTTTAAAATATATTTTCAACTTTCTCAAAATAATTATAAATCATTCAAAAAATCTAATAATCCATATTAAATTTAATTCTTTTTACTTTTTTAATTTTTTTAATTTTTTCATAATATTATTGATATCAAAAAATCTATAAAAATCTATTACAATTCTAAAAATAGATTATAATATATTATTTATTAAGAAATTATATATCAAAATTCTATATTCTCTTTATTAAATTATTCAATCAATTCTCAATTTAATAATTTGAAATCCTTATAAATCTAAATTAATAATATTAATTAATTATAGAATTGAATTTTATATTATTATAATGATTTTTAAATTTTAAATTGATTTTTATTTTGATATAAAAAAGCGTGCATATAGTAGGGTCGTGCACATAGTAGGGAAATCGGTTAGATGCATTACATAATCTATCAATTTCTTGGACCTGGAATTTAACGATATCATGTATTGTCGTGTACTCTCACGACATGCATTACACAATACCAGTGGCTTGGTTCGCAATTAGCTTTGAGGAGATTGCGTACACCTTGCACATACATGCATACATATACAGCACAGGTAAGACAAATTATTGATACACCAAAAGCCAAGTATCCTAAATAGGAGATTTTTGACCTCTAGTTCTTTCTCCGATAGTAGGGTTGTGGTGGGCAGGATAGCTTATCTACGGTACTGGTCCAGTAATGTTGTGTCTGAATTTGACATAAGAAAGTACATTAATTATTTACATCTAGACTTTATAGTGAGTTTGGTGATCCCTGTGGTGGCAAAGTTAATATTACAAACAAAGAGAAATTCAGTATAAATTTCCATACAAATTTCTATTATATATATAACGATATTAATCTCTTTTTTGTTATCAATAAAATATTGATTTTATTAATAATGAATATTATTAACATGAAATATAATTTGTTTATTATTAAATTTTAATAGAAAAAAAAATAAGGGCTTTTAAGATTCTAAGATCTTTGAATATTAGAGTTGTAGGAAAGATGGATGGAAGAGTGTATATATAGAGATTAGAAGGAAATTATAGAGATGAATGAGAGTTAAGAATGAGGAGAAGGGGAGTGAGTGTAGGGGTTTGTTACGGGAGCTGCCTCTAGGGTCACGTGGAAGTGTCTAGAGATCTCTCGAGGTGGTTTAGACTAGACTTCAAGTAGGAATTCAATAAGGTTGTAACTGGTTGCAATTCTCGTAACTATAGTAATGAAACTAATGATTGTTCTTGAGCACGAAGCTCTACATTGTAATGAAATCTGTTCTCTTATATAGACCTTCCTGCTCTGCAGAACCTACAGTTCTGTCTTGTCTGGATCCTCTGGATCCTATGGATCTAGATGTTTATTCTTCGATCCCCTAGATCCTCTAGGTCCATCACGTGACTTCCTGACCATGTGACGCGGTATATTGGATGCCGTCGTAACAGGGTTAGAATAAATGAAAGGTATTAATTGAAAGTTTAATGGGAGGTTTGTTTATTAATTGTAACATTTCACCTTTTTTATTCTTCAATTAAAAGCTTTACCATTATATTATATAATATAGAATATATTAGATAAATAGTTTGATTTTAATATAAATAAACTTTTTTATCTGAAATTGATTATTTTAGATTAAAAATTAGAATTAACTTTCAAAATTTAAGAAATTTATTAAGATTCTATTGATCAAAATAAGCTTTATAAACTATAAAGATTTAGATTAATTATATTAATATTTTAAAAACGATTTATTCAATATATAATTAAAGAATTAAAGAATTTATTATAATGATAAAGAGTTTACTTTGTCAAGTACTGATTCTACTACTACAGGGGATACAATAGATTTCTAACTCAAAAATATTTATGTTGCGTTGAATTATATACTTATACGATACGATTATAAGAGTTTAGGCCCCAGCTTATTATATATTAAGCGAAAATATATCAAAAACCCTTATTTCTTTAACTTTTGAACTATATATTAATTCAATTAATCTTCGAAATAAATTTATAAAAATAATAAACATAATTGAAAATTATTAAAACAATTTAGAAAAATGAATGAAGTATTTTTAATTATTTCTTTGATAAAGTTATAGATTCTCAAAGTTGAAATTATTAAAAAAAACTTAAAAAAGTGATTCTTTTATATATAAAAAGTATTATATATTATAAATTTTGAAAAATTTCAATTTTGAAAACCTGTAATTTTATTAATCTTTATAATTTCAAGATACTATTTAGATTAAAGATTCTTTATCTAATAATTTTTAATACTTACAATTTTCAAATTAATTCTTCAAATAATTAAAGAATTATAAAAATAATCAATTTATATAGGAAAATAATATTTTTACAGGGATTTTATTACGAAAAAGAATAATGTACGATAAGCCGGGGCCTCAATTCTTACAAATGCAGGCAGCTTTCATTACGTAAGGTTACAACCTCGTTGAAATGTCTCGCCTGTAGTTGTTGTTTCACAGGTATGTAAACAACCGTTGAAAAAACTCGAGAGAAACTCGAACGACTGGGGAAATCTGGACCCTTACTTGAGCATCTATCGTATCGTATCATGATGTCTCACAATATTGCACGTCTCAAAATCGGTAAGTGGGATAAAAATTTTCCGACACTGATGCTAATGCTGATGCTGATTGATACTCATGTAAGATCTTACATCGTGACACGTGTAGCCCTAAGGTTTTTCTCACCATAATCAACACAAGCTTACCCCCGCAACTTCATTCGATTTGCTATATGTACTTCTAATGTACTCTTTCTTACTGTTCCTCAAAGACATCAGCCTTGCTCACTTCGTATAAGACTACCCTTGTACTATCTACCTACCTACCAATCGAATCATCGCGCAAAGAAAATCAGACTGACAGTATTCAGCGTTCACAAGAGGCGTATATTGGCTTTACACAGCCATCTCATCTCAGCAGCTTACCGTAGATTTATTGACATCAATATCGTTCCGAACATTGTTCCGAATACAACGGAATATTATCACGAGCTGGTGGTGGAGTGAGTCAAGATGAAACATGGAATCGCGGGATACATTGCATGATATCAGCTCAGGCACAAGGCATACTCTCTTGATATCCAAGACTTGGAAACTCCGATCTTATTTCTTGTGTGACGTGCGAAGTTTATCTGAAGATTGTTTAGATGAAGGGTCCTTGGTAGTGAGATATTTCATGCCTTGATTGATATCTTGTTTGGCAGCTGAATAGAAACTTTGATTCAGTGAGAGCTAAAGGAAGAGTCAGATAAACTGCATTAACAGACAAATTGGGGTACGGATTGACAGATTTGTTCCCATCAGTCAGAGTAGCGAAGCCCGAAAGCCTCAGCGGGAGGATGGAGGCTTGCAGAAGCGCCAAGCTGGAACCAAGGGCGTGGATCTTAGGCTTGCAGTTTCTACGATTGACACGATCGAGCGAATGATTAGTGGTGGTGAATGTTTCTATTTGGGGACTCGATGGCTGTTTGTTCCTGAGACTGAATTCCTATATGTTGGTATGCTATATGGGATAACACGATACATCGTACTGCTATATTTTCTGGGATAGTTTGAAGGTATTTTCTGCTTATTCTAGAATCTGTTGAAGAAGAATTCCACGGCTATCAGTACGTACAATAGCTCTGGTCATATTGTACTCATAGAATGGCGCTGCTTTTTGCAACCTCATTGTCGATAGTCTTTCGATGCAGCATGCTATTCTTGAGCTTGGGTTTGATACATTAAGGACAGAATTATGACACGGAATTGATTTATGCTTTCAACGTGGCAGCATTACTGTATGTAGTCAAAAAAAACTATATTTGCTTAAACATAGCAAGACTTCAAAGAATCAATTGTCAATCAAAAATGAAATTCGTGATTATCCTAGAATCGACCTCTCAGTTTTTGAACGTTAGAAACCCGATGAATGCATGCTTACAACTAAAAGAATCCAGACGAGCGATCAAAGCTGACTCCTATCTTCTTATGCCGAAATATATAAAAAGAATATACGTGATGTAGCACTAAAGCTGCAAAAAAATGCGTGGAGGTTGAGTATTAATTTATCAAATTCTCTTATAGAGGAAATCTTGGGAAGACTAGACATGCACTGCCAGATTATATTGCGTCCGGGGTATTCGCCACAATCCGGGGGTAAATGCTGTGCATGATAATGCATGCAGATTTATCAAGCATATACGGGTCAATTGGCCGAATACTACATTGCAGGCGGCGAACACGAGATCATTTCAATATTTGATTCAATTGCACGAATATATAAAAATAACTCCAGGTAAACAGATGAAAGAAATGTAACATCGCCCGGCTCGTATTGTGGTGTGACTCAACACAATTCCATCTTTAGATAGATAATAGGTCTCGAAAAAAATCGCGCCGCGCCCCAATTACTTCGGATTTGAACTCCAGAAGAAATTCAAGAAGAAAGCAAACAGAGAAATGTGAAGGGACAAATGTAAAGAAAATCTCTAAGATGATCAAACAATTGAACCGCCCTTCGAAGTGCAGGTTGCGATGACCGAAGCTGGCGTCGTCGTCTTTGTGATAGTGATCCTAGAGAAAGTGATGTTAGCGGGATTGGAATAAAGTATGAGATTACTCTCCTGCATCGAATTTCACAGAAGGAAGAATTTGCATACTTGTGCGTGATTGTCGATGTAACTGTGGTAATGGTGAAAGTTTGGATAGTCTTTGTCGATGTAGGCGTAGGCGCTGTCACAGTTGCAGTAGTTACTCCGCTGCGAATAGTAACTGGTGCAGGAGTACTATGGTTTTGTTAGATATTAGATAATTTGGAAGGGTAATCGATTCTTACATGGTGGTTAATGTAGTTGTAGTGGCTAAATGAGTAAGGTGTGTTAGTAAATACTAGCATCCATCAAACAAAATTCAAAAAGTAGAATCTCACCTGTGCTAAAGAAAGTTGAAGTAGCAGCAGTGCTGGTAACAGTGGATGTGATCCAATCAGATATTATTGTGTCGGTGACTGTCACAGTTGGAAAGTCTGGAGCACGCTTCTTAAGCTTCTTTGCGATGACGCGACCAATAGCGCGACGTCCAAGAACATGAGCAATATCAACAGGAGCATCTCGGCTTTCAGGATTAGCCCTGGGAGCCGGGGTAATGACTGCAGCTGCGGGTGCTGGCATGGCAGTACGTTTAACGGAAGAATTGGATGTGACACTTTGAGCCAAGAGAAGGAAGTGTTGATTGGGGTATACATCCTGCATGGGAGGGTTAGTGGGAAGTCTGCATGAGGCTGTTTTCGTAACTGTAACGATGGGGAAGGTGTATTTTCTCGAAGTGATAGTCCGTGTGGAGGTGGTAGTCTTCGTAGTTGTGACCTTCTTGGGGGTAATTGTAACTGTATTCTTGGCAGTGGCTGAAGCTGTCGTAATTGTAATAGCAGGAAGCGTGGTTGAATCGGTGTCAGTAATAGTAGTTGCTAGAGTTGTTGACGGCGTCACAACATTCGTGATATTCACTAACGAATGTCAAATTCCCAGAACTTTCATTACATCACTTGGAACAACTTACCGGTTGGAATATATGTTACTGTGGCTTGAATTCCAACGGTGAGTTCAAACGTTCTCTGGGCGGCGAAAGAGGCTCCAGCTCCATTGTTGGCCAAAATAACAATGGTCCAAGTTCCACTGTACATCTGATTTTTGGAGATAGGACTGACGAAAATTAGTCAAAGTGTCAACTCAAAGTCTTTGAGAAGGATAACTACCATGTCGAAAGCATGTTGGTACTGTCAGGTTGAGTTTCAATGTCACTGCACTCCCATGAATCATCATTAGGTGCAACAAGAATCACCTCAGCCTCCCCAGTGCATCCGGTGAATTGAGTGACGGCAGTGAAGCTGGAATTATCTGCGCTATTGATGAAGTAGTTACCTCCATTCTGGAAGTCGATACCATATGATGCACAGTCTGCCTTGACATAAGTAAAGATAGCAGTTAATACAACGAACGTGTAAGAGAGATGAACGATTGGAGAAAACATGATGAAAAGCCAAATGATGGTGAATGATGAATGTAAGTTACAATTGGGTTCGCGGGATCATATAGCAACTTTGATATCTGGAAAAATTTTATGAGCTGGATCGACTGGATCTGAGCTGTTCCGCTCCTCGCCGAGCCCATCCAAAAAAAGAAGCATACCGCAGCTGCAAAATCGTAGACACGCACAATACGACACAGGATTCTCCAACATCGTCCAGAGTACTGACGGGCTCCATCTGACAGAATGAAATATCCATAAAACAATAGAAACGGAACGTCTCCAGCTTCTTCATTACACTAGAGATCAAGATACAAGCCTTGCTGTGCCGCACAACAAACTCAACAAGTCGATTTCGAAGAAGGATCGTCATTGGCTTCATTGCTTGAATTCTTCTTGTCAGATGAAATGAAGTGGAGTGATTAATGTGGAGAGAGCCTGAAGAGTGCAATGAGAGGAAGGATCAATACGAAGTATGATGTATGTGCTGACAGTGACTTGTGCGCCACTTCGAAGCTACTGTATAGTATTGTGAGATGACTAGGTATCTCCAACTACCTCTGACTACCTCTGACTACCTCTGACTACCTCTGACTACCTCTAATCTGACGCAGATAAACGCCACAATCTTCATCTTTGCAGCTGCCCTATTCTCGGTATCGGTACTAGGGTAAGTGTATTGAGTATCTTGGTCATTCTAATATCAACAAGGCTTTAAATGGCATTTTCAACTCCGAAACGAGCATATCATAATATAGCAGTCCTTGCGATATTCAGCGTGCTACAAAAATAAGTGCCGCTCAGTGAAGATTGTTCTTAATACTAAGCCGCAAAGGGCAAGAAAACCCCAAGGTTCGGGCGACCCCTGTAAATTAAATAAAAGAAGCCCTGATGCAGGGTAAACACGTGCGACAGAAGCCTGAAGACTAGGCCAATAAATAACCGAGCCGCTACTGTGGCTCACTAATTTTAAGCCAAGGATAGGCTGCAGATGATCAAAAGCAGCTGCATAATATTGTTTTGTCAACTTTTATTACCAAATCAAGGATTTAGTCGAGTATTTTGACTCTTTTTGGTGATTCAGGTGATTTAGTATCGTTTCGTATGTTTATTTCCCGTCGAATGCTTTCGGAAGATGATTGAATGTGATTTGGCGTTAAAAGTTCGTGTATAACGGATAACTTAGGCCCAATTGAAGCTCTAATACAGGTGCCCAGACGCTAAATATACACTAATAATATACCTGTAAACTAGACTGATTACCCAATTTTTCCAAGGGGTTTCTGCAAGTCCACTAGTGGGTGTACGGACTGACGGGACACTACAAAAATTGTTACAATTGTTCATTAGACTTGAAACAATCAAATTGTGAAGTCTCATATCAAACAATCAAAGATTAAATTTGTTAAAAATTTCGAAAGTTGGAAAGTGTTCCGTAAATCCATGCACCCACTGGTGTTCTGAGTCAGCAAGCCACCTAATAATAAGTACTGGTGGTTTTACGATATTTGCACTCGCAACATCTTCCATTAACCATCCATCACAAGTTCTACGGCATAGAAGAAATCCTAGGCCCATCAAACCGCCAAAGATCAACATGGTCAAAGCCAAGCTAGCTAGTCATTCTAACCCATGAAAAAGGATCACACCTGAAAAATTCAGCCTCGCATACGTGAAGATATTCGGCCTCGGCAAAAGATCGTGATATTGAAAGTCTTCCTGTGGATATCTTCGGGAACGGAAAGCATACGTATGCCAATAATCTTGTGAGATGCAACTGTTGCTATTGTTATCATCTTTTCCCGTAGAATCTCGGATGTGGAAGATTGAACGAATCTTGGCGTGCCACCAAAGCAACTACAGTATTGTCCGAGGGCTGACAGCATATGTACCTTGCTGCCGTGCCTGATTATTTTCTACCAATATCAAGCCATGCACTAAATCCTGTCATTCTGGTTCTTGAGGATTGGCATCATGTAAAGTGGTGTACACTTTTGAAGTGATCCCGACCAGGAATCTCGATTTTAGTCAACAAATCGGATGATTGGACATGAAATGCTTTCAGCTGAAGTCACAGTAATTTTTGGTCATTGGATGTTCCATCCCGAGATACATGTAAGCCACGAATTTTTGATTTACAAGGCTATCTGATAGCGCGTGTGGTGTAAATGTGATGGCTGCTCCTCCTGCTTGTCAGTCGAGCCTCACCTCGTGTCAGAGACGGCACCGCGATCTCGTGTGCATCGACATGAGAATCCAGAAAAGGCATCTCAATGCTAGTCAAAAATGCCTGGGTGTTGATCTGACAAGATAAATACATCAAGTTTCACTTAAATGCGCAGATATTACTCTCTTCAGATCAATTCTCTCAAGTTTCTTTCTCTAACTTGCTCAAAATGAAGTTGTTGAATATTCTACTTTTGTCTTCCGCTGCCATTGGAGCAATCCTTCCATCTCAACTCGATGAACGTGATGGTCTAGTGAGACGACAAACGGTCTCCAGCAGCAAGACAAGCACTTCATCAAAAGCCTCTAATACTTCATCGAAAGCCTCTAGCACTTCATCAAAAACATCGTCTGGTACCTCCAAGTCCTCAAGTTCGTCAACCTTGCAGTCGTCATCAGTTGGCTCATCATCTTCGAAGTCTTCAACAACTACTTCAGGCACGTCAACCTCTGTTGGCACCACGACAACTTTAAGCTCAAGTTCCACCTCTGCTCTCTCTAGTTTAGTCGCTGATCCTGCTTGTACAAACTCGCCCTTTACCAGAGCCTGTTGGGGCAATGGCTTCAGTATTGCAACTGATTTCGATACTAAAAATCCCAACACTGGTGTCACCAGAAAATATAACTGGGAAGTGACCAACACGACTTGCGCTCCCGATGGAGTTACCCGCCAAAATTGCATGTTAGTCAATGGCCAATATCCTGGGCCAACCCTATATGCTGACGTAAGACTCGTGTTATTTTCTCTTATGTTGTGTGCAAATTGCTAACATACTTTTAGTGGGGTGATATGATCCAAGTTACCTTGAAGAACTCCATGCCAGATAACGGTACTGGTATTCACTGGCACGGACTTCGTCAATACCACACATGCACCGAGGATGGTGTACCAGGAATCACAGAATGTCCCCTTGCCCCTGGTGATACCAAGACATACACTTTTCAAGCGACCCAGTTCGGCACGAGCTGGTATCACAGTCATTACTCGGCTCAATACGGGGAAGGTATGCTCGGTGGAATTGTAATCAATGGACCGGCAACTTCTAACTACGATGTTGATCTTGGAGTCTACACTATTTCAGATTGGTATTATACTCCAGTGTTTGCACTCGGTGAAAGAATAGCCCACTCTCAAGCCGGACCGCCATCGGGTGACAATGGACTTATCAACGGTAGTATGGTTGCTCCTGCCGGTGCAACTGGTGGAAAATATACCACGAACACCATAACCTCAGGTAAAAAGTACCGTCTCCGTCTCATCAACACTTCGGTCGATAATCATTTCATGGTTTCATTGGATAACCATGCTTTTACCGTGATCACAAGTGATTTTGTACCTATCGTTCCATATACCACAAACTGGATTTTCATCGGTATTGGCCAAAGATATGATGTTATCATTACTGCCAATCAAACTGTTGGAAGCTATTGGTTCCGAGCTGAAGTTCAGAATGGGTGCGGTACCAACAACAATAATGGAAATATCAAGAGCATCTTCACGTATTCAGGGGCAGCAAGCGCCACTCCATCGTCTTCAGCTACTCCATATACTGGAAGATGTACCGACGAAACTGGACTCATTCCTTTCTGGGATAGCTTTGTGCCCAGTGGTCCACTTAGTGGAAATGTTGATCAACTCAACGTCGCGATCGATATTGGCGTTGATGCCAGCGGACCAATCGTAACATGGGGAATCAACCTCAGTGCCATAGATGTCGACTGGAAGAAGCCAATTCTACAATACGTCCTTGACGGCAACAATTCTTGGCCTGCTTCAGAGAATTTGATTGAATTGCCAAATGCCGCTCAATGGTATTATTGGATCATTCAAGAAGTACCTGGAAACGTTAACGGAAACCCGGTTTCTATTAACGTCCCACATCCAATGCATCTACACGGTCATGATTTCTTCCTTTTAGGTACGGGAGTTGGAACTTACAATAACACAATCAATGCACCAAACCTTGATTACGACAACCCAACTAGAAGAGACGTTGCCATGTTGCCTGCTGGTGGATGGATGGTTCTAGCATTCCAAACTGATAACCCTGGTGCTTGGTTGATGCATTGCCATATTGTAAGTATTTCCTTCTCATAGACTACTTCTAAAAATGCTCGTACTAACACACAAACCAGGCATGGCACGTGAGCGAAGGTCTCGCGGTACAATTTCTGGAGACCAAAAACCAGATCAACGCTGTAAATCCGATCTCGCCAGCATTGACGAATACCTGCAATAAGTGGAATGCGTGGTATCCATCTCAGGCTCCTTATCTTAAGACCGACTCCGGTCTATAAACCTGGGTTGATAGGGATCTGTGGGCGCGGTTTTGGTATCTTTGATTGCATGTTTGATTCTTTCAGGATGGCTGGACCCTCGCTGGGGATCGATCTTCCTGCGTTTGCTTGTAGTAGTATATAAGTCACAATTTGGGAAAGGTTGTTGTAGTTCGTTTTTTTCAGAAAGGCAACAAATTTCGTTTTGGGCAGGTGTTTTGTGTAGTTTATGGTAGATTTGCAATGTAAAATTGGAATTTCTCCGCGTTCTTTTGTGTCGTTTGGAAATGATTCATCTGTCGTTCATATATAATTTTGTGCTTAATATTATTTGAGTAATGAACGGGTCGACATAATCATTAAATACTGTACCTTACTCGCAGCAACTCACTGATAGCACAGAAACAAAAGTTCAATCATTGTTGGATTAATTTGTGCCCTAGCAAATCAATGCCAAGAAAGATTCTCTAAGGTAATACAAGATGATATAATATCGAATATTCATTGTAAACATGTATCACCGAGCACAATCATCCAACAGCCATGTAGGAGATATACAACAAGTTCCCTCCAAAACAATAAGCGAGCTATGAAGGGGCATAAACTATTAACTAGGAATTGAACAGTGAATAAATTATCATCTAAAACTAGGTAACTAAGCCCAACTGCACGGACTTAACCCAAGTTCATCATGACGTCTCCCCATTTCCAACCCACTAGGCGCCGAGACCCAATATCCCCGGGTATAGAAAAAGCCTGAACAAAAATCTTAAACCCTAGAGCTATCATTAAAAACAAGAAGCAACACAGTATTTGTGTAACAGTGCCACATAATAGGAAGCGCTTATCGTAGCGCTTTATGTGCGTGGTCAATGCTGTGTTGGAACCAAAGACTAAAGCGCATTGCTACGCGGTCGAGAAGCGAGCTGGTGGGATTTTTAGCGCCGAGGCTACATTTGTTGTGTCGCATGGGATGTTGAGGGTTGTTTTTGTAGATAATATGGTTGATTTGCGTCAGATATAATCGTAGATTGGTATTATATAACTCTTGCGAATTTCTTTTCGCATCTCTTCACGATAGCTCAGGCATCTCGACGTTGATATGCATCCATCGAAAGCCACGTATTCATATATGGAACGACAAGAAAATAGTCTAAAAACACTGTAAAGGTATCTACCTGGCGAAGTACTAGGTCAAATGTCGGTCCAACGTGTACTTATACACCGGGTCAACTAATCCTCGGCGAATCCGTCCCGGCATCTTGGATTATACAGGCCAGTGTAAACCCAACTCCCAACGTCCAGACGAAACTTATAAATGTTTATGAGGTTCCTTGAGGAATACGATGACGACCATCAAATAATGATCACATTTTCTCCATTCATTACCTCGAATTTTAATTCTGTATATAATTTCATGCTTCTTCTTCTGCGCCGCTATAGACTCAACAAAAATGTCACGAACACACAAGCCTAGCACCGCTTTAGCCGAAAGAACTTCTATAGATGACTATGATTCATTTTTGCTTCCTATTTACACTTATTTCGCAGAATACGAGGACCACCGGGAGCGACTTCGCATGAGACAGATTTATTGGATTCCCACCAGCCATGATGAATTGCAGGGCAATGGAGTTGTATTTCTGAGCCAAGTGCACAAACTGATGGCCGATGGAAAGACATTTCCCAAACCCAAGGAAGGGTTGCGAACAATGTTTCACATCAACTCCAAAAATCGCCATGGGCTTTTCAAATCAATCGATTTATTATATCTTGGCAAATCTATCTGGAGCAAAATGAGCGGACGCCATCAGGTGGGCATTTTGCGTTTCTGGGAGACGAGAGAGATGTATCTAAACGGTATAGGTCAGAAAAAATCATTTAGCCTTTCTTGATCTTCTAAAGGAAGATAGAATCATTGAGGATAGTTACGAATCTTCAAAAGTGTACTTTCAGAGAGACTTTGAAAACGAATGTAAAGAGATGCGCGAGAAAATGAAAAAACTCAAAGCCGCACAGCTGGGAAATATTAGTCCAAACCAAAAAGATGCGAAGAAATCGCACCCTGGATAGCGTGTTCAAAGTATATAGGAAGAATACAATAACGACTGAGAAATACAAGACCCCTTTTCGAAGGTCATCATTTGATAAGATGAGCCTGGTAGGAAACGAAGTGCTGAAACATGAGATTCCTATGACGGAACATTTAATCTGTCTTTCATCAAACACAGAAACGAAGAATGCGACACGATTAGTGCCGACCCATTTGGGATTCTTCGACTTTGAAGATTAACTATATAACTCATTCGCTTCTGAAAGACTTGGTTATATTGAGACACGACGTCATTAATTGTGGGATTCTCTATTGGCGTTTGAACTAGAGGGTGGTTTAGTACAAAGGAACGAATTATTATGGGATCTCTAGAAGATAAACGCAGAGTGAGAGCATCTGAATAGCAGTCGAGCGATTGCCTCCAATTCTCCAGAGCTTTTTATTCATAAAATGGGTGCTGATGTTCGACTCCATGGTATGAGGTGTATATAATTTCTAAGGCTGGGGATTTTGAGTTGTCTATCTGCATATAACCCAGCCATCAGTTTGAATTAATTGAATATTTATATGAACTTATGCCTGCTTGATGTCGCATAAATAACTATTTACAAAGAAGTATATTTGAAGATATATGATACGATGAAGTTGAGAGAATTTAGAAAAGTCTTTTTCATTCATGCTTTTTAAAAAGTGTATATAATCTTCAGTTCAACAGCAAACAAATATCATTCTGAAATGACCGATTGATACAGAATTTTGAATTGACAAACATTAATTGATGTTAGATTTCAGACTGACAGTTAATCTCTAGCTCTAGTATTTCCAAGAAAAGTGTATGATGATGGTATACATGATGTACATTGATAAACACCGGAGCTAGGATACCGAATGAAATTCTTTAATTAGATACTATATGAATAGAAGCGCCATGCAGTCAATATTTCTACACCAACCAACCACATACTATTTCCAACACAAGCAAAGCTCCTATTGACACCGTAGAACATTCCCAGAAATAACTCCAACCCAGGCCAACCACCCAGCCTACAGACCCCCCAAAACCTCCTCAACAACCGCCCCCAGCATTCTCAACCCATAAGACCTAGCCACCCTCTCCCACCCTTCAACCTTCATTTTCACATCCCCTCTATCTACACTCTCTCCCCACTCCCCACCACACCCACAACCCTGTCTCAAATCATTAATCTTCAATCCTTTACACCTCACACATTTCAAATCCTGGCCCACCCATTCCCCCACACATGCCATCACCTCCCCAATAATCCTCTCTTCAATGCCTAGATGTTCAAATTCTCCATTGCAGAACAGACATTTCCAGCTCCAACTTCCTTCACTATTAGGAAGTAAATCTTCATCACGACAAAAATCCATATCTCGTGACGTGGTACAAGAATCACAGACGACGCTGAAAAGTTTAGCAGACGTGGAAGGATTTTGAAATTTGGCAGCGTTAGAAAACTCGCGGATTTCAAACATTTCCAAGAGTTCTTTTCGTAAGAGACGAGCTTCGAGTGTGATGTTTTTGTCGAGAGACAGAACTTGCATAAGACTTTTTACGAGTTCCAGTGCTGGGTTCGTGGGTTTGAGATGTGAACCAGGGAGAATGGGGAATTTGTAATCTTCCGCGAGTTCAGGATGGAGCATTTCATCTTTTTGTCTGCGAATGATACCGGCGATTTGTTTCTTGAGTGGTTTTTTGAAACTTTTTCCAAGAATGATTTTATCTTCCTTATCATCCCCCAGATTTCGTACTGGGATTTGGGTAGCTCGAGGGGTAGAATCAATACCAAGACGTGGTTTCTTGAGAGCATGCATTATATCAATGAATTCTAGGACCCAGTCATTGAAGATCTGTTGGAGTTTCTCGGGGAGGAAATTGCTCAGTTGCCAGTGCATGATGTTATCCAGCGATTGATTTTCAGCTTCGACGACTTCAGAGCAGCCTTTACCACCGTAGTTGAATTCATCGTACCAGACTAGATAATCCCAATACTCTTTGATTTCAAGGTCGAGGAAATGAAAAAGTGGCTTGGCCTTGATCGATTTGAGGATATATTGACTGTATGCATATGCATTTCCGACTTCGGCTTTGGTGGTCTGTAGTAGAAGTCGATTTGAGTTTGCGAATACGACATGAGATCCGACACGCCTGAAGTCGGTCATGAGTTGTTGGAAAGCCTTTCGAGACATCATTTGTACGTAGTAATGCAATGAACGATCGTAGAGGAAGGAGTCTGGATTCTCAACCCAGCGCACAAGATGCTGCACCATAATATCTGCCATGCTACTACCTCTGCAAGCTTCAGTCCACCAAGCCTTGACCATCTCTCTAAGAACTGTAACACCGGCAGTAGCAAAAGCGTTCTCGGCGTAGAGAACATTGGTACCATCGCTAGGAGCATCGTCTGATGGTGCAGCAGGGTTGAAAGATATCGAGTCGCTTCCCTCAAGTTCATTGATCAGAGATGATGTCAAGATGGTATTGATAGCCAAATTTCTAACATCGAGCTCAATACAAACTGATGGATATGTCCCAGGATTATTGACCGACGGCATCTGCACAGTGTCAAGGCCACCAAGAACATCATCGAGTTCATATCCGGCATGATCTGGCTTTGGACCACCAGACCACCACAAAACAACATTACTCTTTTGTAGTCTTCTCGCATAAGCCACATCAATCAAGAAACGAGGATCGTCTCTCTCGAGATTGCAAAGTGGAACATCTCCATATCTCGCGAGCTCAGTCAAATGAATGACCCATTCCCCGAGGTTTAAGTAATGACTAACCAAGCGCTTTGCTATGACAGATTGCCAGTTTAGTGGAGGTAGTTTACTATCTTGAACGTCGGATTTCAGGGGAAGTATTGGCAATTCTCCCAAGATAGGCACATCATGTACCAGTAATCTCCTCTGTGGAGATTGGACAACGAGCATGAGTGGCTTGGACTCATCATTCTTCAGTTTCTTGACAAGGTCACCAACTTCAAGCAATGCTTTTCTTCTTGTTGTGACTTGGCTGATCTTGAACTGTATCTTTTCCTGATATTCGAAGCAATTTTGCCAAACTTCTCCCTTTGCATCTTGATGGCGTTTAGCAATGGCATCCGCGTAAGTTTTCGCAATGTTAGGAAGATCTTGCTCGGCCACCTTAGTCTTCTGGAGAATCACAACATGTGCCTGTTCTTTTGAAGTCAAGAAGAGTGCAAAGACTTGTCTATCACCAGCAATGACATGGTATAGGTAGAGGTATTCCATCGACGAATTTGAAAGATATGGATTTTTGGTCGATGCGCGACGGAGTCCGGATAGATCAAAGCCTTGCTCAAGACCTCTTCCTAAGACACCGGGTTGAGTCTCATCAAATGTACACAAACTTCCCAATTGAAGAACAGCACGAACATTTAGCGGAACTTGCTTTTCATAAACACCTTCCACACTCGGATGATTGAAAAGTAGAGATATCTTTTGCGCTTCGTTTACATAGACATTTTCGGACATCGTGAGTTTAAACAGATGGACTGATGGGTGTCCATTCGGCAGTGTATGAGTGACCTTCTCAGCTTCACAGCCATCAATTTCAATATCTGGTAATTCCTTACCCTTCAAATTAAGGAATACTGTTCTCGGAACCTTGACTTTCAATATATGCACTTTCGAGTCAATAAGAACGAACGCAAGAACAATACCTGGACTTTCAGTACCTCTCAATTGTAACACCTGCCATGTACTTTTGAATAGCTGTTCGGCTTGATTTTGAAAAGTAGTCGCAATATTGCTTTGGGCGCCACGATTCTCACCGAAAAGATGTCGACGTCGTATTCTGGCCTGTTTCTGAATCTTCCATTTTTGTTTTTGGTACTCCAAGAACCCTTCATAATCTTCGCTTGGTGATGGCATCTTATCCGGAAGTGCTGCAAATGGATTTATGGAGACTGCTACAGCAGGTTCCGGAGACTTTCGTTTCATAGGCTTCTGCGAGGCTGCATTTAACTGGGAGCCTAGAGTTTTAGGCTTCAGAAGTTGCGTTCCAAAATCCTCCATATCGGCTATTCTTGGATCTTGCAGGTTTGAAATATCTTCAAGGGGAGTTTTGGTAAACATATCAGTCATTTTCTTTTGCTTCATCTTGTCATCCTTGATTCGAATTCTTCTCTGTAGCCAATCTGGATGTGCTACTCTGGGCACTGGATTTGAACATTTTTGGAGAGCTGCAGGAATCGTAATGAGTTTTTGAATGACAGATCCAAGACGTTCAGTGTAATAATCCCAATCTAAGAGCGCCCTTGGGTCCATGTCTGTAGGATCCTCCTTCAGCCATTTGCGCAAAAAGTGTCGCTTTACTGAAATATCCGATGAGAAGATAGCAACTGGAACGGCTCGTTCTGTCACTGGTGCATGCTTCGGTTTGGCGCAAATAATGTACTTGCAATTCAATCCTTTATCTTTCACCATTTGTTCACCCAGGAACTCCGCCAAGCGCTTTGCAGTAGTAATCGAAGTTGACTTCTGTGTGCCATATTCCTCCAAACTCTTCGACATACTTCTGTTCTCGCAAATGAGGTCAATAAGTTCTGCGTCGGCGAGAGTTCTTCCTTTCGAATCTAAAACATCGAGCCATTGATTCGCAACTTTGGCCACTGCTTGATAAGTCTCTTCAAGAGTTGTACCCTCCAAAAAGAATTTGAAAATTTGCTGTTGGAAAATCTTGATGAGCTTCAGTTCTCCTCTTCGCTTCACCTCAAATCCCTTGAGTTCCGCTAGACTTCCGTCATCGTTGAAAACAGCGTAACGTTTCTTTAAATTCTTGTCCTCTTCCTTGGAAGTAGGGAGAATCATAGCACGATAGGGACCATCGACTTCGAAGAAGATGGAATTATCGCTATGCGTCTCGTACTTGAAGGTTTTTGGATCAGTGAGAGTTTGGTATTGATGGTTCGTGAATTTGTCATGGACCAGATGATTCAACATCACACAAGGGTATGAGATAGCCAGCTTC